CAGAAACAGGTACAAGGCAATACGCGTATAACATAATTACAACGATGTTTACAGAATACTTTTCGACTATAAGGTCGTTGTAACAGCCTATAATGAACATAACCGTTGGAGTTTCTCTTTTTAAATCTCTCGTGAATATACGGAGGCCAAATAAAGTTATTTTATGGGCATAATTCATGAAAAATATTCATTTGAATCTCGCTTTTATTTATAATATTCTTAAGTTTATTGAATATCGTCGGGGATAGTCCAATTACCCGTGACTAGCATTTGATTATGAGTTTTCATTTCGGTAATTTGATGTCCAAATCACCCCTGACGATATCACGAAATTTTACTACTACGGCATACAACATTTTTTTTATGAAATCAGTCGCGTTATGCTGAAGGCGCTGATTAGAATCCAGCCGGATCGAAGGAATTTTTCTTAGTATTCTTACGAGTTACGTAGTCTGTTTTTGTTAAAAATAAAGTTTGTTGTGGAGTTTTTGCAACGAAACAAACGATTATACCATAGTTTCCCAAAGTAGTCCCTACCCTACTACTATTTGGTTATTCAAACTAAGGCCTACGTAAAGGTGTTTTGAGAATTTATATTTCGTTTCGGAAATATAAAATCGATCAACGGTCGATCTGACATCCACAGCGATGTCCTGTACAAGTAGTCTTGCACATAGATCTTTGTTCTACGGATGAGGCGATATATATGTATATATTTTTTTTCAATTATTTTTTGTGGTGGTGGGCGTTGAATTTGCTTGCTTAAGTGGCCTATGAGCCAAATAGTTTGGGAACCTATGGATTATACGCATAAGCTAGCAGATTTGTAATATTCTACACTTCAAACTGAGGGCGCGAAGAGAATCCTGGAAGCCTTATGAATACCGCCATTTCTCCACTAAACCTACCTCCGATTATTTCTTTATGTAGACTATATTATATTTTATTTAATATGATGCTACTAGACATAACAACAGACTACAAAGAATACCTTAAAATTGTCGTATGCAAGGTTATTTGTAAAATATTAAAATCCTCGCAGGACTATAGGATATTACTAACATCATACGCTACAATTTTTGTTCCATAACTTTTGCCAAAACATAATAAACTTATCAAAAATAAACTTCTAAGTTTTTGTTGTACCATCTGACATTTTTTAGATGTGCATTTGTTAGTAAGTTCAAACGTGCAAGCGGTCTTCCCCGAAGATCTCCCCGCTCTTGTGTTTTGCTTCGGACTATTTACACACTATTATGCACAGAATTGTCACCGTTTAAAGCGATCTATTTAAATATGTTTTAATTTTGTACGAAAGTAAAGTCTGATGAATTAATAAAAATTTTGAAAAAAAAAACCATTTCTCATTTACAACATCATGACAGTATGAAGAGCTAAACGAGACACTGCCCTGGATTTTTTATCATCCAAGTACGCAGAAGCTGTACAATAACCCTTAGTTTTCCCTTAGAGCAATCGCTATCAATTTCTTTATTATTGTTCTTACAACATTCTGCGATTTATTGTACGGGCTAAATTTATTGGTATAATCTAGTTAATTAGCAAGCACCATGTTTTTTTATAGAAACAAAGAAGTAATTGCGTATAAAGGATAAATGTATTTTTTAAATTGGTTTTCCTGGAAGCTGATAACCTTCGCTTTTGACCGTTGGCTATTTATTTGTGTTGTTAATCTATAAATTTGTTAATTCTACAGCTAATTGAAATTCCGATTCCTTTGAGAGTAATTAGAAAGAAACTCTATTGGTTCTTATTTCTATAATATGATATATCAAATCGAGAACTGAGGGGAAATGTTTGGATATTTGTTTTTTTAACCGACTTCAAAAAAAGGAAGAGTATCTCAATTCGACTGTTTGTGTTTTTTAATGTATGTTACGCGCTAACGGCATTTGTGAATTGATTTTGATGAGTCTTTTTTTGTTGAAAAGGGGTTACCTTGGGTGTGGTCCCATTTAAATTTGAAGAATTGAATATTCCACCTCTAAGAGTGGCAAACTAAGGGATGAATGACTTTTGAGGTCGATTTTTTTAGTACTCTGTACTGAATAATAATTTCAGTAATACCAAGTGACGGGACAAACAAGTTGTGCGCCTGGTGGTAAGCATCTTGGTACTTGGTGTAATGGGCTGGTGTCCGCAACTCGACGTTAAGGCGCCTGTTTTGCATGATGTGGTGAAGCATTTGTTACGTAATGAGGAATTTGCGAAGGTGTTAATTGAGGGGAAGGTAGAAGGGAAAAGAAAGAAAGGAATACCACTAATAGCGTATAGCGAACAAATAAAGAAGATCAAAGTGAACAACTAAAAAGAGGTCAAGGAGCTGGCTATGAACCGCGTGGAATGGAGGAGGCCACAGGGCCAGGCTCTTTAGAGGGTACCGAGCTTCTGGCGCTAATTGATTTTAGGTATTCTATGCGCTCCGTGTATGTGTGCTAGACATGAGCGCCGCGCCGGCGCGCCGCCGCCTTGTGTATGTGAAAATGGCGACGCCAGAAAATGACTTCTTTAAGATAAAACTTTTTTTTAAATAAAATGTAAGTTCGCATTTGACCTCCATTCCACCTGATGGAAAGTGACGATGAGGTCGACAATAGATGAATGCCTACTCACTTTTGACATGAAAAGGCCCAGGCTATAACGTGCAGGGAACAAGTCTGCAGGCAGGGAATTCCACTACATAGCCGTTCGCCATATAAATGTGGAAGCGTAACGCTTCGTGTGAATCTTTGGAATATCCACAACATAGGGGTGGAACCCAAGTCTACGCCTAGTCCCCCGGTGATGGAAAGGGGAAAGCGGAATTAAATCCTGTAAAATACCGATAAGCTGGCAACTTTACGGCGATGTTCAAGGCTCTGCAGTTCGCCTCCACTAATTCCGTGCCACCTATTCTTGGCACGGTTGTCAATTGAATCAAAGGTAGCCAGTTCGTATGTAACAGAGCCATCCTAAAGGTGACAATAGTACTACATGCACGACCGGACTTGTGCTTAGTACAGCTGAAGCAACTGTCCCTATCTACCGACCCAATTGTCCCTATCTACCGACCCAGAGATAGGAGAGACTATGGGCTTTCTCGGAGAGACTACGGGCTCGACGGCAAGACCAGGGTACAGCGGGCGTCCGGGCCAAGCCCTCCACCAGTGATACGCCTTTGCGGGCGTCTCTGGCGGACCCGGACTTGGGTATGGACTCGCTGGGGTTTGTGGTTAGCTGCAGAGACGGACATGTTTGTCTGCCCCGGTTTTGCATGTGTTCGGGGCGTCTGTCTCGTGAGTAGCTAGCGCGTCTTAGTGGCGGTCTAGTTGAGGGCCTGTATGCGAGGAGATCCGCGGGCCACGTGAGTTGCCCTTTAAGTTGGGAGCTATGTCCGGACATTGTCGAAGGACACTGCGACTGGCATCTCCGGCACTAGCCCGGAGAGCTAGTAGAGGATAAGCTAGATATCCTTCGGTCCCTCCAGCCGCTTATTTATTGGGAACTGGAGGGTCGTAGTTTTTCAGCGTCGGAAAGTGAGCGTACCTTACAGCTCCGCCACTAATGAGGAGATTTGGTTGGTAGTGGACTCAGAGTCGACGGCTTAGCGGTGGCAACTGCTAGTTGTGCAATGCGCAACGAAAAGTGAGCGCGCCTACAGTGCCGGTACCTATCTGAAAAATAGGGAGGGTACTGTACGTGCACCCGGGGCGGCTCATCCGAGGCACTAGCCTCTCGAAGAACCGGATGAAGTCAAGTGACAGAGGTCTGTGAGAACCAGGTACACTGGCAGATCTTGGGTCAGAACCTGAACTTGTAAGGTTCCTGTGCGCGCACAGGTTATAGTGTCCTTCTCGTATGCCGTGTGCCCTAAGGGTAGGTAGGGAGGGTCACTATAATCGAAACTAACGTAGAAAGATATGGTGCTTGTCCCGGTGTTAAGTAACGCCTCACCCTGGAAAGGATCCCAAACTTCCTTGCTGTACGTTTGGCCATGGATTCAATGTATCTGCCGAAGTACAAATTGGACGACCGGTCCAATTCAAGTAGCTGGAGACAGTCGGCTATCGGTATGGATAGGTATATCACGAAAAGTCGGACTCAGCTCAAAGGGACTCCGTTTTGTGGAGAATAAATACGCCTGCGTTTTGGTAACGTTAAATTTGGCATCGACCCAATCGGAGACTGCTTTGAATGTCAAATCTAAACGGGTAACTATGGACTCTTGACAAGACTAGAATTTCCTCTCCACTGACCCTTGCATTGGTCAAGTACCTATCTACAACTGTGTTATCATCAGCATACGCAAAGGTACCTGGAATTAACATATCATTGATATGCAGCAGAAAGAGAGTTGCAGACAGTACGGAACCCTGAGGAATCTATCGCCATATGTTCGGAAGAGTAGCCTTCTAAGACCACTCGAATCGAACATTCGCTCAAGAAATCCGAGATCCAATTGCAAAGGTCAGTCAGAAGCATAAGGCAAAGGGGGAAGCTTACTTAAAAGGTTTGCGTGCCAGACCCTGTCAAAGGCTTTAGAAATATCCAAAGACACTGCAAGTGCTTCACCTTGCTTTTCTATAGCCTCGCTCCATATGTGACAGGCATACACAAGAAGATTCCCAGTTGATTGGCCCTCGTCGGAATTCGTACTGGCGATCACTGAGGAGGTCGTTGTCTTCAAGGTACGGCAAGAGACGGTTGTTGATTACAGGTTCCATAGTCTTGCAGAGTATGGAAGTGCTGAGATAGGTCTATAGTTGACAGAGTCAACTCTGCTTCCCTTTTTCGGCGCAGGTTGTACGTTTGCAAGCTTCCACGACCTGCGAACTACACCAGTCTCAAGTGAGAGGCGGTTCAGGCGTAGGCGTGTTAGAACAGGAGACAACTCAGGCTCATAGTTACGTAGGACTAGTGCTGGAAATCCAATTGGCCCGCTAGCTTTATTCACGTGCAGAGTTCTAAGTACCTCTTTTTGGCGTATGTGAACTGGCGCTATGGCACTATGGTGCAGCCTGCCTGAGGTAAGATTAGATCATCTGCATGATAGACCAGCGTGCCGTCCGGCCTCAGCAGATGTGACATAGATAGGCGACAAAAGTTAGTTAGCGATTTTATATTTAAAGATGTTTTGTTTAAAAAATTAATTTGTCGATTTCTGGCGTCGCCATTTTCACTACGCGTGCGCGTGCGTACGATCGGAGCACCTGATCGAATTTATAAAAAATTGATTACTGTAGAAAATACATTATTTTATTTTTTCCCTTCAAAAACTATTTGTATAACGGTTTTTGTAAAAACAAACACCGATATAAAAATTCGTTTTAGGGTCGCGCCCGCGCCGCCGAAACGCCGCCACCGCCGAAACTTTTTTGTCGGCGCGCCGCCGCCGGTTGGTCTATTATCGGCGCTCATGTCTAATGTGTGCGTGTGGCATACGTTTTTAAAGCCGTGAGTAAGCCCAAGCGAAACAAACCTTCACATTTGACGGCCGAAGCAGGGCTAAAGTCGGCAGGGGGGACGCGTAGCGGCTCTGGATAGTATGGGCGGAACGCGTGCGAATTTAGGTATTTCCTTCGTATTATTAAAACAAATATACACTTTGAAAATGTACGGAGTGTACGTTATACAAAAGATGTATACCTTCCGTGAAGTATTTACGCTGTACTAAGGTTTTATATTGTTTTTTTGAGATACCTGTGGATTTTTTTTCTATCGAGGAAACTACAAGTAATTGTGTTTCTAATGATAGAGTGAAGCCTTTAATATCTTATACATTAATTTCACAACTAAAGCTTTAGTAATAACGATACAGCAAGGGAACAAACGAACGCAATTATTTCGCAATTACATATCGCTGCCTCGGCACAGTCTTAAATAGAATGATGATATTAAATCTATACAACATTCAGTGCAAGACCCTACTGCATGCGCAGACAAAACACTAGATGCCAAGTGTACAAACCAGTAAGTAACTGGTGATACATTCAAGTGTAAAAACAAACGAGTGCTTTGAGTGCACGCGAACTCGCCGCCGCCGCCTCGTGACTCAACGAGAGATTGAAAACCGGGGATGTATTTAGGCGATTGTTTCATGTTTCATTATGATGCAAGAAATGTAGACAATAAATGACGCACACGAACTGCTCACATGTTCTTGATGATAGTTTATTAATTAACAAAAATAACAAACACTTTACGTCTTATTACCAGCAATGTGACGCAGCTTACAATTCTGACCAAATTTTTTTTAATTCTTAGGTGTAGAAATATGCATTGATAATTGTCATCAGTCAATGGAGTCGCAAAATGATTGTATAAAGTAATTTATTCTTTCACCACGATTACAAAAATAGAAATATTTGCTATTGCCTTAATACAACATTAGGTTTTTACGATTGCTACACATTGGACATGAATCTATTTCGAACCTAAACGTGTATATTTGTTTCTTCAAACAAACCTATGTTCCGGGGTATTTACAAGTACCATGTTCACGTAATGAGCACGAAACATTGGTTTGTATGAAAATGCCATATGTGCGATTTATAGGCGGTTACATCAATGCAAAAGACATATTTATGAGGGACTCAGATTTAGTAGAGGCGAAGCTGTAGAGCCTTGAACACTGTCGTAAAGTTGCCTGATTACCGGTATTCTACACGATATGAGAATGTGCGGTGCCGCTTTCCCTTTTCCATAATCGGGGGACTAGATGTGGGCTGCGGTTCCACATTTATATGGCGAGCGGCTAGGGAATGGAATTCCCTGCCGGCGGACTTGTTCCCCGAACGCTACAACTTGGACCTTTTCAAGGAGAGTAAATAGGCATTATTTATGTGTGCATGCTATATCGTCGACCTCATCGTCACTTTCGACAGACGGATGTCAAATGAGTGCGCATTTGATATCCAACTCACCTGTTTTTATATTTAAAAAAAATCGACAGACATCGGAAAAATAGCTTCATTTCCAATTCGAAAATTTGTCATTTACATAAAGACTTAAAGGAAATTAAAATTCTGAACCGGAGTAATTTTTTTCCATCAAAATGTAAGTTATGTTCATTCGTGCTAAGTTGTAACTGTCAGCCGAGTTCGCGAGCATCGAAGCACAATCCGTAGATTAGATTGTAAGCCTTCCGATATGATATCTTATCAATATTGAATTTTATGATAAAATTGGACAATATGCAAAGTATAGACGAACTTTACTATAACGTACCAAAATCGTAGTTATTACTCATGCACCGAATGATGTTACTTCGGGAATTGTTTTGGTTAATTTTTGCGGGATTGCTTTTGAACGTATATTCAATAAATAGGTAATCATAATAATGTGAAGTCCGTTTTTTTATAAATACCAAGTGACGAGACGAAAAAGTTGTGTCCAGGTCAGCGACACGCCTGTCCATGATAGTTGTAGTGCCACTCAGAGATCGTAAAGACGCCTCTGCACCCGTCACCTTGAGATATAAGTTGACAAAACCCATGTGCCTGTAATTTTACCAGCACCCTTACCCTTCCAAACATGTTCACTTGACTGCTTGGCGGCAGAAATAGGTAAGTTGGCAGTATTTCCCTGGACGAACTCTTTCACAAGGAGCTCTACTGCTACTGAAACCTAAAACCTGTATTGCAGTAGTCGGTGTCTTTCAACATATGACTACGATAAGTCTATTATTTCGATATTTCGGTGAAGACAAGGCGTAAAAGTCAAATTACAAAAGTTTACGTGATAAATGTAAAAAAAAAACATAAACGTTTGCGTTCGTATACTTTTTATTTTTACGTAATAATTACACTTTTTTTAGCGAAATATAATTTTTTGACGAAACATATTGAAAGAGCTTGAAAATTTACCATCGTATTGATGGAAACACTATAAAGTACACGCCGATTGTTGCCTAAGGTTCGCCAGATGTACAAGATAGGAACGACATGTCGCAGTTAAGCGAGGAGCATTCTTTCGTGCACCCCAAACCCATAAAAGGCAAATTTTTCATTAAATTGCCTTTTACAAACTTTCTTTCTTGAAATATCGATTTGCAAAGCAAACTAATTATACAATAGTAGCAGTAGAGTGAAAGAGTCCGTCCAGGGAACCCATCGAGTATATAACCAGAAATAGAGACGAAACGTCATTTAATTTGTTTGAAAACTATTCTGCCATATGATTACTGTGACAACTGCGCTCCGATCGGCTAGCCCGAGTTCGAAACAATTGACGTTCGAAACAATTGACGGGTGTCAATTGTTTAACTTCAAATCGACCAGTTAACTTGAGCTTTGGTATAATGGACGTAATGGACGTAAATTACATATTTAATATTTAATTACCGATAAAATGTGATTCCGTTTGTTTTGTAATTAGATGTTTTGCTGTTTTTCCCACACCACCGAATAGAACAGCACGGCATTGTTAGAGATATTATCTTTATTACAATAAATACAGAATATTTTTTGGAATATACGGAGACGTACACACAGGTCAGTAGTTGTTCTGTCTATATTTCAGTGCAAACGGGAGTTGATATTTATAAGAGCTGTATCGCTAATGTGTTACCAGGAATACATGGCCCTTATTTCGTCTCCATTTCTGGTTATATACTCGATGAGGGAACCTTACCTATTTTAGTCGCCGAGCTGAGGGTTACAGCGTTTCGGTTTTGAAGGGCAAGTTGCTGTGAAATTACAGGCACGTGCGACTTTTGCACTCATGTCTCAGTGTGACGGGCGCAGTGACAGTGCGTCTCAGATCTTTGCGATTTAAAGCTCTGAGAGGCACTGCTACTGCTATGAACAGGCGCACGACTTGTTCGTCCAGTCACTTGGTATCACAATCACAAAAAAATACAATTATAAGAAATGAAACCTTTTTTTAAATGTAATTTGTTTTTTCAAACAAACCAATGTTTCGGGACTTTCGCGCCCTTTTCAGGTTCCATTGTCACGGCTGACTGCCTACTGACTGACCAAAAATGAATATACGCGATCGATCGATCGATAGATCTGAAAAAATAGTTTCATTTTCTATGTGTAACAATCGCGAAAACCTAACATCTCGATAAATAATTATATAGTACGTTAAGACTCTCGTGGCACCGTTTACTTGTTCTTTCAAACGATATTCAAAACTCGCACTTATAACATTTTATAACTTATAACAAGTTCGTCCCTGTGTTATTTCTTATTCGAGTTGTAACGGGTCGGGGTTAGGAGCGGAAAGTGCAATGGTTTTTGCCACTTTTGGACTTTACTTTATAGGTAACCTTGTTTGTGTAATGCAATATTATCTTTTTTTGTTGCTGATACCGCGTCTACGTATATCACTTGTTATGACAATATTTTAGGTATTTTGTTATAATTATACAGCGTTTATTTAACCAGGATTTTCATCATACTTACTCGAAAAAGGTGCCATGACATGCAGACAAAGTCCACCGTTTTATCCTAAATTATGCCCTCGGGCTTTTTTCATTACATTATCTCCCTAAGGGTTTTTTTCGTCAAGATTAAAAATTATATTTTATGCTCGAAAAGTCTGAGCGTATATTTCGCTTATGACTGGAAGCATACCAAAAAAACTAAACATTTGCAATTGAACTATATTTTACTAAATTTATTTTGTGTTTTCTAATTCTGCAGTATTTTTAGAATTTGGAAATGATTTAATTTATATCTTCCATGTGTCTGTGCCTTTTATAACATTTTAGTTCGAGTTGTATTTATCTATGGAAGAATAGCTGGAAATCTGTTTAAAAAAAAAACAATAAAACCCATAATACGTAAATGTTATGTTGAGAAGCGATAAATATTAATACTAGAAATAAATTATCAGTATATCGTCATAATGTACATCCAATGTACATCATCATAATTATTTCAGCCTGTTTGCACCCAATGCTGACCTCCTCTCTATTGCGCCATTCTTTCCGGTCCCTTGCAAGTCGTGTCCAGTGGTTTCCAATGTATGATGTACATTGGCGGTAAAAAATTACAAACCTCGAGTCATTAAAGCATTA